CAAGTGTAACAAAAGATCTATCCACCATTTGGGTGGGGAAAGTCTAAGAGGCAATTATCTGAGATTCCAGGTCCTTCTTAAACATTGGATTACCCTGGCAAGGGGAAGACTGAACAAGAATAGGATATATAGGATATTTTTCCTTTCCAACTTTTAAGTTGGAAAGAAGAGTCAGGACAGATATAGACATTTATAAGAGATTCAGGGGCAACAGAAATTTCAATATAACTTCTTGTACCACAAATGAGTGTTCAAACTGCAAGAGATTTTATTCGGTGCAAGACAGAAAGGACCAGTAAAAGGACAATACTCAAATCCAGGAAATATATAGGACTTCAGCCTCCATTAACCAGCATCAATTTCTGGATGAAGAGACATAAATAGAAATGCAGTGGAGGAATACAAGCATAGACTAGGAATGCAGCCAAGAGGAAGAGGACCTGACTTAATGAAGAACTTTACCAGTAGCTTGTACTTTACCCAAGGAAATAAAGAGTTAGTCCCCACAGAGATTTTGGCTGAATCAGTATTTTGTCAAATACAGGGGTTCAGTTTTGAAAATGTAAAGAATATTCTACAATATGGCCACAATCTAAATAAAAAACATGAATTGATGCAAAAATTTAATACTCTTTTGCCGGGGTCCAACCCCAGCAGGTCCAGGGGTCCCCAAAGGTGTGGACGGAGTCGGCGAAGAAGGAATGACAGGGAGACAGTGTTCAGTTGATCAGCAGCCTAGCCAGGATCTCCAGCCAGGATCTCCAGCCAAGTTCTGGTCTGGATCTCCAAAGAGGTTCTGCTCAGGTTCTCCAGCCAGGTTCAGTCACCAGGTTCTAGTCAGGTTCTCTTGCCAATTTCTGTAGTCAGGTTCAGTCCAGGATCTTTTGCCATGTTCTCTCGCTAGGTTCTGTCTCTAGGTTCTGAGGCCAGTTTCTGTCCAGGATCTTTTGCCATGTTCTCTCCAGCGAAGTTCTTCTATCTCTAGAGAACATTCTGTGTAGGTTCTGTGCCTAGGTTCTGTCTCTCTTGGTTCTGTCTTCTTACATCTGTATTTATACCAGTTGATTCCAATCCTATCAATCTCTATTTCAAAGGTTAGGGCGTTTCTTATCTCCATTCCAGGGAATAAAGATTATGTAGCTTAAGCATGATTGTTCATAGTTAAAGTGATTAATTACCCACCTGGCACTTAGTTAAGAGGTTTTATTCCCTCCCTAACTTCAGGGGAAAATCCCTACCTGGGGAAACAACCTTTCTCAGAGACCTTGGTTAAAACACATAGTGCCAAGAAGGTGAGCAAACATATTAAGAACAGTATGCCATATATGCCAGGTCCCTTGAAACAGCAAGCATGGACCGGCTCCCGGCACTCTTTATATGTGTTTTCAGCATATATAAGATTTTAAAAATATTTATTTATAAATATATAGATGTAATGCTAGTTCTTCTGAAAACGTTTTGAAGAGCATTGCAAAAATGCTAGAATCACTTCTAAATTAAAAATCCTAAACTTGGTATGAATTTGGAATTTGAACAGTTATAAGTACCTTGGTGAGAGACTGGATGTTGACAGAAATGTAAAGATATGTGTTGAAGTGGAAACAATACTGGGAATAAACATTTGCGATTTAAAGATTTCCTTCCAAAGAGTCCAGTGGGCAAGTCAGTATAATGTAGAAGTGTACATGGTAACTTTATGCTGATGTTTGCAGTTGCTCATGCATAGTAGGTAAACCTGAAATTGGCAAAATGGAAATCTAAAGACATTTTTCACAAAATTCAATATTTTTATTTTCATATAAGTCAACTTCATCTTTTTGGCATAGATGACATGACTCAACCAGGCTGACATAACTGTCTTAATATCATACATGTAGGAGTCACAGGTAGTTTCTAATTATGCTTCCTACTTCATTTTTCACAAATTCTATCTGATTGCCATGCGGAGGTTCTGAGAGATTTTGACTAAGTGCTCTATACCAAAACCAAACTTGTTTTGGAAAGTATAGATAGAGTAAACTCTCCATGGACCTGGGAAAAAATAAATGAAAAGTAAATTCACTTTGTAGGGAGAATGGAGAGGCCATACAGGAACGCAAAGGAAGGACTTCCCACCCCACTTCATGTGCAGGATGTTGGCACTCTTCATGTCTCTCTTTTTATTCCCACTTGAGTTCCCACTGGAAAACTTACTTTAGATTCCAAGTGGAGCTAAATATTTGCACTAATTTCTACAAATGGATAGAATGCCTAACTTACTTCATAAGCATTTGTTAGATCTAGCAGGTTAATGAGTCTACAGGGGTAGGCAAAACAGTTGTGAGTACTCAAAAAAAGAGTTTATTGTTGTATTATTATTTATTAACTAAAGGCCCGATGGACGAAATTTGTGCATGGGTAGGGCCCGTTGGCCTAGCTGGCGATCAGGGCCAATCTGTGGAGCGACGGGTGGGGTGATCAGGGGGCCCCTGCTGGCACCCACCTTGGCTGGCCTGTCACCACTCGCTTGCCAGCCCCACCCCCTGCCACTGCCACCAGTTGCCTCCCACTGTAGGGCGACCAGCGGGGCAATCGGGGGGAGCCCCCGCTGGCACCCGCTTTGGGTGGCCTGGGGCCTGCGGGCTGGGGGCAGCTCCTGCATTGAGCGTCTGCCCCCTGGTGGTCAGTGTGCATCATAGCAACTGGTCATTCCACCATTCAGTCAATTTGCATATTAGGCTTTTATTATATAGGATTATTGTGTTATTTATTTAAATTACAATTGTAAATCTACTTTTTCCCACCTCTAAATATTAGTCTTATTCACATTTTGGAGCCAAATGAACTCTCAAAAGTGTCTTTATTTTAGTCAGGCACCTGATAATTGCATTATTCTAATATAGTCCAACTGAAACAAAGTATTTGGAATAAGAATTGAGAAAGCACTCAATAAAAACCCTGTGCACTTCTATATCAGTGCCAAAGTGAGGGTTTAACCTGTGTTGTTATATAACTCAATCCATGTTATTGTGGGCATAGCAGATATGTTATTTAGGATATTGTTGGAATGAAATTGAGAAAGGTACCCTAGAGTAAATTTCTATTTGGCTTATTTCAAATCTTGTGAAAATAGTAAAAATAATCAAGATGTATTTTGTTTGAAATTTTAAGTCTAATTTCAGGTTCAGCTTGGATAATTAGCAGATGCTCTCGTTTTGTAGGAATTTTTAAATTATTTTACTAGTTTGTAATAGGAAAAGCATACACAAGGTACAGAAAGTGTGTTTTTGAAGTACAGAAGGATATACAGTGAACAGTTTCTCCTCTAACCCCTGTCCTTCCAGCCACACATTTACCCTCCGAGACTCAAGCGCTGTTACTGAGTTTTGGTGTACCGTTGCAGAAATGCTCTTTGCTTTTATGACTATATCATGTTTAGCCCTTTTTTGCTTTTTTTTTAAACAAGTGGTAACATGGTACCACCTAGTTGTATACGTTGCATTGTTTCACACAATAAATCTTAGAGATAGAATATGTTCGGAGCTCAGTAGGAATATGTCTGCAACTGCCTCATTCTTTTTGGTGGTTTCTGTTTCATTGAAAAGATATAATTTATTTCAATGTTTCCTCATTAATAAAGATTTAGTTCATCAATCCAGTGAAGATCCTTATACCGTATGTGTATTATTTTATACTGGTGTGGTATATCTGTTGGATAAATTCTTATATGTGAAATTACTGGATCAAAAATAGTTGTGCTTTTTCATTTTGGTAAGATTTTTAAAAAACTATGTTTTAATTGTTTTTAGAGGGAGAGAGAGAGAGATAGAAACATCAGCGATGGGAGAAAATCATCAATCCGCTGCCTCCTGCACCCCCACTACTGGGGATCGAACCTGCAACCTGGGCATGTACCCTGGCCAGGAATCAAACTATGACCCCCTGGTTCATGGTTTGATGCTCAACCATTGAGCCACACTGGTCGGGCTGATAAGATTTTGCCAAATTACTGTACATGGAGGTGGTATTAGTTATATCCTTACGAGGAGTCATGAGAGTGGTAATTGTAGTAATTATCAGAAAAACAAATACTCTTCATTATGTGACTACAGATGATTCCTAGAACATATTTATAGTAATATACAAGCTACCGCTTCCTTCTCTTGATTCTTTAATGTTGATGATCTGACATCTGGTATCCAATATACTATAAAGCAATTATAGTAATTATCCCAGTTTTGCAACAAGGAAACTGAAGTGCAGAGATATTACATAACTTGACAGAGTTGGTAACTGACAGGATACAGACCCAACTGGTTGGGAAGCTGGAGCCTGTGACTGAACCATGAGACTGTCATGTCCCTATTGTGCATTTAAAAATTTTTAATCATATTATATACATTTCTTGACTTGGTATCCATACTCTCATTGCAAATAGTCTTTCTCTCGTGTCTTTTTGTACTATTTTTTACAGTTGAGACAGACTAAAATAGAAAATTTTTATTTTATTTTGCTTTTGCCCCGAGGAACACCTAGAAATTAGCACCAAGTTGAAATGATCTTTTATGACAGTCCTCACATTAGAAATAAATATGTAGCAATTTTTTCATTTTAAAATTGATGAACTTTAAGTTATTTCAGAAATATGCACAAGTTCCAAAGAAACATTTATATGTTTGAATGTTAAAAAAAAAGAAATAGCTTTCAGTGGTTCTTTCGGCAAGCCGCTGAGACTCCACGTGCGCGTGAGTGGTTGCATTCTCCTGTACCTTGACGCGGGCCTAGGCGAAATATCGTGAGCATAGCTATTGCATTTGGTAGGTCTGCTCAGAAGGGGTCATGTGCAAGTCACCTTTGACTTGTTCATGGAATTTTTTTAGATGTAGTGTATGGCAGCAATGATGTGCATCCTAAGGGAAAAAAATGTCCATTTTTATAAAAGTTTATTTTCATATTTTATACACTGTAGTTCTGTTGTGTGTTTTTGATTTAGTAACAATTTATGTGTTTTTCTGTCGCAGAGCACTGCGGCCTGTGGTGTTGAGGCTCACAGCGATGCCATCCAGCCCTGCCACATCAGAGAGGCCATTCGGCGCTACGGCCACAAGATTGGCCCCCTTTCCCCATTCACAGTACGTAATAACAGAGTTATAAAAAGTTATATTTATAATCTGAAAGAATTTTGATTTTCAAGTGGTCAAATGAAGAAGCAATGGAATTGTTGAAAGCAATTTGTGGTGACTGTAATTTTGTTGTATAAAAGTGGCATAATTCTCTTGGGAAATAAAAGTTAGTCATTTTTGTCTCTTTTTGGAAGGACAATTTTTTCTACAAAATATTATTTTCTTTCAATCACAAATTATGCTTTTTTCATTGGAGCTTATATTTTCTATTTTTCAAAGCTTAGGTTTGTAAAATATTTTTGTCAAATTATATGTATCCAAATATTGCTAGAAGCACTTTATATTTTAAAATTGGTTAGATTGGCAATACCACTTCTATCAGATGTCCTCCTGCTCCTAAACATACTTTGAGTTGGAAGAAGAAGAAATGATTTCTTTACTGGCTTTGAAGTAGGCTGAAATGCAGACAGTCTTTCACATCTTCAAATGGTTTTAAAGCTTGTAATCAGTGTTTGTTGTGTTTGTTTTTAAATAGAGAATTAAAGACTATATTTCAATAGCCTAAAGTGTGTGTGTGTGTGTGTGTGTGTGTGTGTGTGTGTGTGTATGTATGTATGTGTGTGTTAATTAAATGCTCATCTTGTGGCTCTTTTTTTAAAAAAAAAATCTTTACTCATGTTAATAGAACTATCTCCAAATCCTCTTATTATAAGGAATCGATTTGATTTTCAGAAAGTGAGGTTTGATTTGTGACTGAGGAATAGTAGAATTTACCATTTCCTTTTTTTATGTACTTCTGCTTTAATACACTAAAGCAGGACATCTATGTATAATATTATACGTACACATATAAGTATAATATATAGAGTTTAAGCTAATTTTTATCTAATAAATATATAACCAGTATGCTTTTAATACTAATGATGCCATTTTTAAATGCTTAATTTAAATAGATCTGGAAAACATGACCTAGAAGGTTTACTTGGCCACTGCCAGAGCAGATGGCTTAAATCAACAGCCAGGGGTAAAGAACTCCACCAAGAAGGGGCACCCAGTGTTATCACTCCTCAGGAAGGACCTACCCTGAAAGGTTCACTTCATTACCTAGAACTATAAGAATTTTCCCAGCCTAAGAGAATAAGTGTGCCTATTCCATTTTAGACACAGTTTCTATATATCTGCCTGTTTAAGTTAAAAATTCTCTTTAAAGTGGGATAGCTTTGCAGACCATTTATGTTGACAGTGTAGCCACCCTGCCCTGGCTTTCACATACCTTCACTGCCAAATGGAGGTGCTCTTGATGTTGGGGTGCTGGTGCTCAGTCCCTGATGTTGGGGGTGCTGATGCTCAGTCCCTGTTGTTGTGGGTGCTGATGCTCAGTCCCTGAGGCCACTTCCTGAGGTGATACTTTATGCAGCACTAGGAACATTCTGCTACCTGGCTGCGAGCTGCAGCTCCTAAGAGGAAAGGAGGCATATGAGCTGCCTCTACAGTAGACATTGAATGAGACCTAAATTTTCATACAGAATAGCTAAGCTAACTTACCTCCAATGTAAAATTTCCTTTGTAAACTAAAGTGCCCATGAACAACTAGTTTATATTTATAAAACATAGAGATCTTGACTTTGCAACATGTCATTCTGAATCTAGAATGCTTGTCTGATGTACATCCTATCTAATAATAGAGAAACATGGTAATTAACCGTAACTTCACTACCCTTCCCATTGGCTAATCAGGGTGATATGCAAATTAACTGCCAACCAAGATGACGGCCAGCAGCCAGGCAGCTGAAGCAAACAGGAGGCTTGCTTGCTCCAGTGATGGAGGAAGCCAACATTCCCTGCCTGCCGCTGCCGGCCTCTGAGCTTGCACTCTAAGAAACAATGTTGCAATTATAGAAGCTAAACAAACCCCAGAAACCTGCTTTCAGCTGTCAGAGCTGGAGCGAGCAGGACCACAACAGTGTTACAATTATAGAACCCAAACAAACCCAGATACCTGCTTTCAGCAGCCAAGGTCTCAGAGCTGGAGCCGAGCCTCAGAGCTAAAGCTGGCTCTTAGCTCCAGTGACAGGCGTAGAAGGTAAATAAATCCCAGAATAAAAAAAGAAAAAAAAGAAAAAAAGGAGAGGTTGGGAGCTTCAGTCACCCGCCAGCCTGAAAACGGCCCTCAGCCCCTCACCCACACTGGCCAGGCACCCCAGTGGGGACCCTCACCTTGAAGGGGGTGTGACCAGCTGCAAACAGCCATCATCCCCTCATCCAGGCTGGCCAGGCACCCAAGCGGGACCCCCACCCTGATCCGGGAAACCCTTCAGGGCAAACCAGCTGGCCCCCACCCATGCACCAGGCCTCTATCCTATATAGTAAAAGGGTAATATGCAAACTGACCCTAACAGCAGAAGGACTGGGAATGACTGGTCACTATGACACACACTGACCACCAGGGGGGCAGACGCTCAATGCAGGAGCTGCCCTCTGGTGGTCAGGGCGCTCTCACATGGGAGGAGCTCTGTTCAGCCATAAGCCAGGCTGATGGCTGCCAGTACAGCGGTGGTGGTGGGAGCCTCTCCTGCCTCCTCAGCAGCGCTAAGGATGTCCGACTGCAGTTTAGGCCTGCTCCCTGCTGGCAAGTGGACATCCCCCGAGGGCTGCCAGGCTGCCAGAGGGATGTCTGATTGCCATCTTAGGCCCAATTCCCTGGGGAGCGGGCCTAAGCCAGCAGGTGGTCATCCCCTGAGGGGTCCCATACTGCAAGAGGGCACAGGCTGGACTGAGAGACCGCTCCCCCCCCCCAAGTGCACAAATTTTTGTGCACTGGGCCTCTAGTATAAATATAATAATCTAACTTCGAGTATCTATAACTTGACTCGTATGAAGCCAATAATTTGAAATTGATTTGAAGAAGTAAAATAACAGTAGGTTACACAGAAACTTAACTCCAGCATTAATCAGTAAACTGATGAAATGCTTTTAGTGAGGCATCATTCTGTACTCTGTATGACTTCGGAAATAATTCTCTACAAAATCACAACATGATTTGCTTTGGGAATACCACTCACCGTATAAAGAATTGTGAGTTCTTTACCTTGGGAATTAGTTGCAATGATAGAAGAAACAATGATTAAAGTCATGTTAATTGGAGGAACGGAAAAAGTACCAATAATGCTTTGCACTTTGTAGCTGCTAGAGCAGAGAAGGAGTGGTGGAATATGAACATCAGTTGCCTGCCCCTCATGTGAGTGCAGTGGAGACCCTTGTAAACCATCCCTACCCAACCAATTGTAACAGTGCAGGCATACCTAATTTTCTTGCCCTTACTTTATTGTACTTTATAGATGTGTTTTTTATATATTGAAGGATTCCATAGATGTGTTTTTTACATATTGAAAGACTCCATAGATGTGTTTTGTATATATTGAAGGCAAGACCTTCCACCAGCAAAATTACAACTGACTTTTGGTGATACTTGCTCTCCTGTGGTGGCCTAGAACCAAACCCAAAATAGCTCCAAGGAATTCCTGTACTGTTTTTGGCATATTGGTTTTTATTGATTAGTTCTTTCTTTCCTGTATTCCCATTTATTTTATTTTTTTTTAATTTTGCTTTATTGCTTAAAGTATTACAAAGAGTATTACATATGTCTCCTTTTTTTCCCCCCTTGACCTTCCCCTGGCCTCCCCTACCTTCCAGTGTCTTGTGTCCGTTGGTTTATGCTTATATGCATGCATACAAGTCCTTCGGTTGATCTCTTACCCGCCCCCCCCCTCTCCCCCGCAAACCCTCCCCAGCCTTCCTGCTGTAGTTTGACAGTCTGTTCAATGCTGCTCTGCCTCTGTATCTATTTTTGTTCATCAGTTTATAATGGTCTTTATTATCCATAAATGAGTGAGATCATGTGCTTTTTCTTTCATTGACTGGCTTATTTTACTTAGCATAATGTTCTCCAGTTCCATCCATGCTGTTGCAAATGGTAAGAATTTCTTCTTTTTAACAGCAGCATAGTATTCCATTGTGTAGATGTACCACAGTTTTCTAATCCATTCATCTACTGATTGGCATTTGGCTGTTTCCAAATTTTAGCTATGGTAAATTGTGCTGCTATGAACATAGAGATACGTATATCCTTTCTGATTGGTGTTTCTGGTTTCTTGGGATATAGTCCTAGAAGTGGGATCACTGGGTCAAATGGGTGTTCCATTTTTAACTTTTTGAGGAAACTCCATACTATCTTCCATAGTGGCTGCACCAGTCTACATTTGCCAATGTTATCACCAATAAGGGTTTAATCTCCAACATTTATAGGGAACTCATACAACTTAACAAAAGGAAGATAAATGATCCAATCAAAAAATGGGCAAAGGACCTAAATAGACACTTTTCAAAAAAGGACATTCAGAAAGCCAAGAGACATATGAAAACATGCTCAAAGTCACTAATCATCCGAGAGATGCAAATCAAAACAACAATGAGGTATCATCTCACACCTGTCAGACTGGCTATCATCAACAAATCAACAAACGACAAGTGCTGGAGAGGATGCGAAGAAAAGGGAACACTCTTGTACTATTCCCATTTATTTTCAATTCTGTGCAGAAGATCAAAGAAAGTATCATATCTAGAAGATTTAAGTAATTTTCCTGAGGTTAAGCTATTGATTAGATTAAGTGATGGAATCAAAGCTAAAATTCAGGCCTTCCAACTCGCAGCTTCAAAAACTTTCTCCTAAAACACAAATCTTTGCAGCTGTCCTCACCCTATGTGCCTGATATTCTGGATGCACATGCTAAAGAACATTGAAAGCGATTCGTAATTCTGAAAATCACTTCAGGGTTTGTAATTTATAGTAGTTATTTTAGAGTACTTATGTGATCTAGATTGTCCTAAGTTATTTTGATGCTTGACATCTTATATAGTCCTTTAACTCGTAGTAGTTGATATTAGGTGAGTTTAGATTGTGTGATAATTGATTTGATCCTAGAGACAAATGACAAGGGTTTAATATACTA